ATTGATTAGTAATTATTAATCATGTTACGAATTGTATAATAATTACAAATGATCATAATTGTAACTTTCGCCAAAATTTCTTAATCAAAGTATGTTTAATAATTTATAATACTTATCGCTACACTAATTCGTATTTACAGTATATATTTATCTGCAGACGCGTGACATGCTTTTCTATATTATGAGTCCTAGTTCTAATATTGTTAAAATACTGATTACATTGATTTTTCTTCAAGGCAAAAGTTCTTATCAATTTATAGCATCCCTTAGTATAATACGTTATATATATTAGCAATATATCGGAATATGTCAGTGTATAATTAATTAAAATTTTAAACAAAATATTTATTGTATCTGTGCTAAAATAATAGCTTTTAAATGTGTAATTGAACGAAACAATTGAAAGAAATAATTGTGGCGAGGCTATAATTTTTACGGACTATGCAATAAATAAAATAATAAAACTCTATTCTTGCAAATTGAAAGATATAAGTAGCTTGCACTAGATTTCCCTGGCGAAACGTCAGATTCTTACTTTACTTACCTTTTACTTTTAAGGGACTGGAATCGACATTTTATGCAGCACATACATCTGCGATAATGTTCATCTTGCAATGCAATCAACAGTTGCAGTTGTATTTAACGAAATTTATATTCTCTTCGCTATACTAGCATATTATTAATCTTGATAATGTAGTGATTCGTTAGCTAATTAGTTACATTTTTTTTTTTTTTTTTTTTTTTTGGAAAAAAAAAAAAATTTTTACTTGACTCTCTTACCACGCTAATTTAAAAATTGTATTAAATATTAGTCAACACATTATCCTTGTAATATAAATTAATTTTAGAAATAAGTTTATGACAAAACTACGAATTGAATTGCTAGTGTTGAGTAGTTTTATATTCTTGGCCCCAGTATTTCTTTGGTTTCATAATTTTTTTTTTTTTTTTTTTTATTAATTTATTAATTTTTGAAATAGCTGATAAACAATATCCTAGTATTATGTTAGATGATTTATAAGTCGACTTTTTTTGTACTTTCACATCGGCGCTTTTAAAAAAAGGTCATGAAATAAGGAAAACTATAATTATTATAAACTATGGAAACGGAGATGAAAATATTAAAAAGAAAAATTTTCTGTATATTTGAATAAATTCTTTATTGTGTAGCATATCTTTCAAACATTTTTCTTCCTTACGAGTATTAAACCGAAGTATGGTCGGCATAGGAAAGTCAAGCAAATAAGTTTCAAATTTTCTACATTATGTTTTTAATAGTTTACTAATAAAAATTAAATGAAAACAAATGAGTTAACTTCCAAAAACAATTAAGTGAATTTACTATATTACTTTATATAAATAGAAATAGTTTAATAAAGTGGATAGTTTAATAAAATTAAAGTCCTAATATTTGTTAGTAGTACAACCGATATTACTTAGAATAAACAAAAAATATATTAAAAGTTATATATTCTCTAATTTCTCTCAAAACAATAAAGAATAATTAACAATAATTTGTTTTTAAGCACGAAAATTTTTATTTTAATATCAAAGTATTCTAGATTTTTAATTCACTTAAATGTAATCTAAAATATAATTTCCGACACATAAATCATAAATCTATTTATTTAAGTTATTAAAACAATAAAAGTCGTAATAATTTATATAAGTAATATAAAGCCAATCATTTATTGACAAATAATAAAACAGAAGATTTACAAATGAAATATATTTCAGACTGCATTGTAAAGAAAGTTAGTTAAAAAAGAAACATATTTCAAATTGTAAAAATGTATTCGAATTATTCATAAAAAATTATGACATATTAAATTAAAAAGTTTGGAATAACTTTAGCTTTGTGACGTAATTCTATATGATTTTTCACTATTCTTGTTCTGCTAATTATATATTAAAATAAAATATATTTAATTACAAAATAAATGTGGTTAATAATAATAAAAATTGGTTGGAAATTTATTCTTATTATCAAACATTTTATCATTATTTAAAATTATGCGAAAATTAATTTAAAAGTTTATGCTTTCACATAAAATACTATACAGCGATAATGATATTTAAAAAAAAAAAAAATTGGCTAAGTAGCTCAACAATCGATATCTATTTTATTAACTGCACTATACGTATTTGTTATATACATATGAATAAAATATTGGTGATATCATTTTTATCTCATGTTTAAGGAAATTCGGAGAAAATGAATAATAAAGAATCTTTTTTAAAATTATTTAACCAGTATTTATGTAATATTTTATTACTAAGTTATATAATCCATTTTTGTAAATCTAACAAAAAAATTTAAACGTTTTAATTTTACCAAAGTTTTTTCATATTTTCACTATTTGGACGACATTATTATCTTAACTCAATTTTATTCATATTTTATTCAAATTTTATTTATATCACAATACTGAATCTAATTCTTATAAGAACATAATATTATGAATTTTATCGCTAAATATTTCAAATATATAATTAATATTTTGTATTAATATTAGTTTTTAAAAAAAAAAAATTTAATTCACAGTATAATATGTAAAAAAATTTTTTTTTCATTTATTATAAAGCAAACAAGAATTAATCTGGTGAACTACATTACGAACTTTTTTTTTCACGTATTATGACAAAAAACCGATAAGTCTAATGTCCGATAAAGCTTTTTGATTTAAAACTTATTTATTATTAATTATAATTTAAATTAATTTTTCTTTGCAAATAATTTATTAAACGTGTATTAAGTAAATGATAGTTAATTCTTACAAACAAAATTTATCATCGTAAAGGTACAACAATAGTTTTACATAGATTTACATATACATTTTTTTTTATTATAAAAATACTTTTAAAAAATACAATTAAAAAAAAATAATTATTCAAATATATTTAATATGAAAGCAAAAAATAAAAATATTCATAAATTAACAAGGTAAATTAAATGCATTTAAATAAGTATTCATGAATAACAAAAAGATTACAAAGTAAAAATTAACCGAATAAATAATTATTGAGTTAAACAGCAAAACTATGTTGGAAATTTTCATTTGCATAAAAAAGAAAAAATCACAATAAGGCAATTCTGAGAATTTTCAGCTTCATTATGAGTATTTTTGATTGTAATCATAGTTCCAGTGAATTAATTTGCTCGAAAGCATAAAGAAAAGTTTCACGTGAATACTTGAAAATATCAATACGAGTGCATTTTTGCTGACTCACGTTTTTTTCGAAGGAACACGCATTCGTATGCTCGAAGGCACGCATTTGCGTTGAATAGAGAAACGAAGGGAATACCGAATGATTATCGAAATAAAGGACCTTCGAGGCAGACGCTAACTGTGTGTGACATTTCATTTTGGATTTTGACATATTTTCGTGCGTAAATATATAATATTCGAAAAATGAAGAGAAAATTTCAGCTTGTTAACATGATTTACAACTTACGAGGAATGCAAATATAAATATATCATAGCGCAACAACAATAATTTCTTAAATATTGAATTTGTTTTTTAAATAAAAGTTTTTATTATTAAGTTCTTCAGTGTCTATAATACATTATAATACAAGTTTTATAAAATTTGCTCGATATAAAAATATAAAATATTATCATACCAGTAATGGTATTTACAGAAGATAGTTTTTAAAACAGACTCTTTGGATTTAATAATTCAAAACGATATGTTGCGAGATAAGTTATAATTATGTAATCTTTAAATTTTAATTATAAACAATAGATGAATAATAACGTTTTTAAACACATGTTTTGTTTATTCAATTTGCAATTGACAAAGAATATATACGTCTTCCATTATGATAGTTTAAAAAAATTTTTCGTCTCACGATTTTATTTCGCTAAAATGATATTCTTTTAAAATTTTTAATACATTATAACTTACTGCGTCTATTTAAATGTATTATACGACGTACCAAACAAGTATATGATGGTAGAAATTTAAGTTTACTTTGAAATATTGTTAAATATTGAGAAAACAAGTGTATTTATTTTTGAAACGCTGCTTTTATATCCCAATTTTTACACAACTAAGTTGTTTATCTCATAAATCACAATGATTTATAATTAAATTTTAAATGTATTAATTTACTTTGATCGTATGATATAAATGGTTGGATACGACGAAATATATTATCTTATTAATTTTCATTGAAAATTATTTGTGTTAATTTGGAAATTTAGTCTTTCGTACAAATCTTTTATAAAATACAATATATTAATAATTTAAGCGTTCAATTTTTTTGAATCGTGTAAAATTATGATTCCAAAGGTAAAAAATTTAACCTATAAAACAATTAAATTTGTATATTTTAATTAAATTAATATTAAACTGTATATATCCATTAATATATATATATATATATATATATACTTATGTAATATAATAAATTCATGTTTTGTGTCTTGTAGAATAAAAAAAGTTGGCAATACATTCCATTAATTAATTAATTAATGCTTTTAAACAAAAAATATATTTAATTTTTCTTATTTTATACAATGTAAAATTAGGAAGTAGGAAGAGGAAGCTATTATAGAATAAATAAAGAAACTTAAAGGTATTTGTGTTTATATTATTTTTAATAAGTATCTTTTCATATATATGATTAAAAACATGATGTAGAAATAGGAAAATGGTTAATATAAAATTAACAAAAACAATTGTTTAAGAAAAAATTTTGTTAGCAGACTGAGCGCTTTATGTTAATTTATTTAGGTAGTAAATGTACATGAATAAATTACCTAAGAATGACTCAATCATTTTATGATTTTGAATATATGCATTCTATTTTCGTATTACCACCATTTGCTTTATCGATATAACAATATATACACACACACAAATATATATATATATATATATATATATATATATATATATATATATACTCGCACATATATATACATATCATACATACATATATATATATATATATATATATATATATATATACACATACACACACATATATATATATATATATCGCTAAATCCAAAGATGTTTTGCCATATCTCATTTACACATTAACTCTTTCAAAGCGGTCATTCGCACGCGCGTTCATTCGGTACACATTATTTTCTTTATTTTTATTATTTTTTACACATTTCACGAGACAAACGCTGCAATGCTTCTGGAAACGTTTTTACTATGATCGAGTTAAACCATCATATTCTTCATTTTCCTTTCGTATTCGATTAAATAGAAAGAAACAGTTTGACAACACTCATATCTAATTCATGTTGCTGTTGTTTTTATTTCATTAAGCAATAAAAACAGCAATCGCACTTTACTCTTGAAGAAGAGATGGACAGCAGTCGAAATCGGCTTTTATCGTACATATATAAATTGCAACGATAATTTTTTTTATTAAAACCTTTTTTTTATTAAACATATAACTCTAAATAATATATGTGGTACAAGTTGTAAAATATTCTTAGGCAGTTTTGGCCCGAATTGCAGCACGCTTGCCGGTAACGGCCTGAAACAAAAACCAAAAGTCCATCAAGATTTTGAAAAAGAACAGTACATTTGGATGATAATTCGAAAATTGATACACAATGTTCGAATGCATGAATAAAAAATAATTTAAGCGAGACTTCTATAATTGTTAAAATTGCCATTTGACATTAAAGAAATTAATATGTAGAAATAAAATATATATTGCCATAAGTTTGTGATAAATATACTGACCTGGAAACCAGACTTTATACTGGCCACCGAACATCTTGAACCACACGATTCGCATTGAAGGAAGAAAAGTCTTGTATCTTTTTGCAGAATAGTATCAGGTGAACGACACGTGTGACACGTTACATATTCCTTGATGTATCTTCTGAGTACATTTTCTATCTGCTTTTGCTGAAATCGACCTTTGATTATTAACTGACTGTTACCATCCACAGAGCCACTTGTACCCAATTCAGCCAATAGGAAATCAAGCAAATGTTTGGGTTGCCTGTGTAAGGTTTTACAAATCTAAATAATAAAAGTTAAAACGATTACATTTAGAAATACATATAGAAATACATATTTTGGGTATGTCATAATTTGAAATTTACAAGGATTTAAAAAACATTATAATTACCTCGGTGAAATTAGAAAAAGATGTCTTTTTTGTTCCAATACGAACGACCTGTGGTGGTCTCATAACAAACTTTTGTTTCTTTCCTGCCATCATATCAGGATTCTTTTCTTTCATTATGTTAAATACTCTTGCGAGCAATTCATCGTATGTATAATCTCTATCCGAACCCACCCATTGGCTTGGTTCCTCTGTTAAATAAAAACATTTCATAAATCATACATTCCCTATGCAAAAATGATGAAGTATTCATAATCATGTGAACTACAATAAACAGATTTTTACTAGAATTTGATTACATAAATAAGACGTAATCGATTAGACGAGATTAGATTAATTTTAAGAATAATAAATAAGCTTACGAGCGAGGGAAATGAATTGAAGGAAATATTGGTGGAAATGGACATGAAATAACAGTATAAAAGTCGATCTGAAATTTTACCTTATATATATACATACATACATATTTATGCATATATATATATATATATATATATATGAAATTTATAAAATTTGAATAGAAATATAGAAGAAATAAGTTTTGTCTAAACATACTTCCTACATTTGCAAATTTTAATTATGGAAAATGTACATGCACATCACATTTATCAGTTTTCCAATAATGGTTAGCATTTTTATTTAATATTTAAAATTTTTATATTTTATTATGTATAAATATATGATTAGTATTATATGATAGTGTGGATAGTATGGTACAAAATATTAAGATAGTTTTAATTTTCACCAATGTTTCTAATCGAACCAAGACACATTAACTTTGCTGGCTAAATTAAAAAGTGCAGTAACGAAATAGGAAACTTTTCTTTCGTAAATGTCTTACCGTAATCTGCACTTCGCTCAGATTTAGTGCAGCATGTTAACAAATAACGCAAAACATATACATTGGGACAAACATGTATTACTTAGCTTAATTTTGTTGTTAAATTTACCATTGTCATTGACTTCGTTCTCTTTTCTTTCCTCTGCCATTAATTCGTCCAGATCCTTCTTCTTCTTCTTCTTCTTTTTCAAATTTTTTGAAAAATCAAGGGATAAATCGAAGTCTTCAACTTCATGCTCTTCGGGTTGGGGTTCTATAATTTCCTGCAACAATAATTTTACATTTATATAAATTTATATAATTTTGTACACGTTTTTCAACAATCTTTATACATTTTCAATAATTTAATTTAATAAAAATAAATTAATACACACCTCTTTCTTGGTTTCTGGAAGAGCTGCATCCAGTTCTTCTAGATTGAACTTTTTCTTTTTCCTTTTCTTTTTACCAAAGTTTTCAAGATCTAAGGATTCCTGATCTTCTGGTACAGCAAATTCAACTTCCATATTTTCTTTATCTACTTTGGAGTTTTCCATTGTTTCAATAACAGTATTACCTCCTTCTGCAATAGCAGAATCCAAATCAAAGCCTGTCTTCTTTTTCTTCTTCTTCTTTGTGAGTTTAGGATCAAACATCTGAAAGAAAGTTGAAAATTAGCGATTAAAGTTAATAACTTTAAATAAAATAATAATATTTGTACTTCACCGATGCATTTTCATATGTATATTAATCATATAAAATGATAATGATTTCGTAAAAATTGACATTTGCATTGTTAGTGATTTTAAAGACAAGACAAAAAGAGAAAAAACTAAATTAAATAACGTTGAAGATGAGCTAGATATAAAGTAATCTAGTAAGTAATCTATAAAGTAAAATATATTAGCAATTATGCATACAAGCCAATTATAAAGAGGTGCAGCAAATTTAAAAATTTAGAAAAATAATAGAGGAAACGCATCTGGAAGTTGCTTCGAAGCAGCTACAATTGACACGTATCGATATCTCCCTTTTTACAATGCTAATGCGAATGAGAGATTCGAAGATGCTACATCTTTGCGCAGAGAATTCTCCCCAACCGATCATAAAAATTCCTTGCTCGAGGTGATGAAATAAAAAAAACATAATAAAGGTGTGCAATTATAGCTGGATAATAAAGTCTATGCCAAAATATTGACGTCCCTTGATTACTTCATTGTCGGACATTAAAATTACAATTCTCCTAGGCTTTTGTTAATCATAAACAATGCATTGTCAACAGAAGCCTTGTTATAATAAGCGGAAAACGCAATCCGTGATAATCATCGCAGCGCGTAAGCGAAAAAACCGTCGGATATGAAAATAATGTTGAAGAATCGCGATGAGCGTTGGGCAACGTAGCTTGTCGCTGCTTATATACATGAACGGAACCGGTCGCTGGCGGTTTGTGCACGCATTTGGAGGTTGTGTTGATCGCGCGGGTGATAAACCGCGCCCAAGGCCGCTGAACCCTACCACCCGAATCTCACGAGGTATCCCGGCTCCTCGCCTAACTCTACCCTCTGGATTCATCGTCACAATCCCCACAATATCCCGAGCACGAGGTGCACACGTATGCGCAGCGGGCGCGCACGTTTCCCCATGCCATGCTGTCGTGTGTCGGTCGCGCGTGTCCAGAATATTTCGCGAGTGCCGCTACAAGGACGTCGTCGGTCAGCACTCACCGATTCCTCTTCCGTCATCTTGGCGATGATCCTCGAGTCGCCGGCGTGTGAATCTGGAGCGATGCGGGTGTGAATCGACGGTATCCCGACAGACTCCTCAGTGTTGCATCAGAAATTTTGGACGTCTGGTGATCTAGGTCAGCGAGATCACAGTCGGGGTGGCGCAGGAGTCGGCCGATAGGTGGCGCAGTCGGCTCGCGCGACCCGCATAAGGCTAAGAGAGGCCGAAGCGAAAACGGTGGCGTTCGAAGGCCTCGTTGTGCCAAAGCCTAAATTTTAACTCGAAAGTTGTTTTGCGGATGAGTCGGCGCTGGCAAAAAGCCGATGGGGGCAGACAACAAAATGGCTCTCTTCGTGTATTAGCCCGGAATCGTTAATAGAGACACGAAAAAGCCAGCGAGTCAGCGTATGGCCAGAGTATGGGGGTAAGAGTTTAAGGACAGAATTGCTCGCGACCAAGAACTCGAGTGGATATTCAATTGGCATAGACTAGCTAAGCTTCTTTCTCCCCCAACGTAATGTAGGCGTACTTTTGCAATTCTATTTTATAAGTCGTGTCCGCTTGCATCTCCATCTAGAATGAAAATATGCGCTTAACGTCTATACACTGAATTAATTGTGATTATAACTGAATCACCATATACTGGAGGACAAAAGGGCGTAAAATGATGCAACAAAAATTTTCAAAATGACCATTTATTATTAATATTAATTTTCTAATAAACATAAATGTAACATTAATTTACGATTGCTGATAAGTAGTAATTTGAGAAAATAATTTACCCACAACTAATGGAATTTAAATTTTATGTAATTGTACAATATTTTTAATAATAATAACGAATAATAACGACAACGACAACATCGAAATTTATGTAATAAAAAATTAATCTAAAAAAAAACAAAATTATATCGATACATTTTTTATTTATCTACTAACATTTATCAATCTATCTATTTATATATATATATATATATATATATATATATATATATATATATATATATATATATATATATTATTTATATATATCTATATATATATATGATAATTATATTTATCAGCCTTATAAGAAAATATTAATATTTAAATATTTGTCCATAATATTATTTATTAATATAGCTGTTTATATTAAAATACAATCGCTGAGGAGAATGAGCTATGACACAAACTTTTGTACGTAAATTTTGAAAAATGAAAAGCTACGAGAGCAAACGATGTAACAAGTGAAGTGATAAGAATAAGTAAATTTAATCCTAAATATATAAGTTGCCGAATAGGATCATTTATGCATACCCATTTCAAGATAAAAATTTAATCTTCTCATTGTCAGTGTATTTTAATATTTTTCATAATTTTATCGATATAATTATTATTGATGTTGAGTCGTATATTCATTCGATTAAATATCTATACATGTCTGATAAACAATGAATTCGTTCGATTCAATGATTAAAATCTATTATAAATGGATAATTATTGAACTTTGTAGGCCATAATAAACGTATAATTTAAGATTCATTATAAATGGACCTCAAATAATAAATAAAAAATTAATTTTTACTTATAGCTCTATCTTCGATCATTAGTATTGAATTTATAAAATAAATGTGAATTTGAAGTTTTTTTTTTTAACAAAATTTATTCAATAATTATCTCTTGTTGAGGAGTAAATAATGCATTTTAATATCTGAAAAAACATTATCATAAAATATTCATATTTATGAAAAATATTTCAAAGTCTATATTTGCTTCAGTGATTTAAATAAAAAACTTCATACTAATAACAAATAAAGGTAATTTAATTTAAAATTTGGATAAGTTGTAGCGATATGAATATGCGACTTTACCAATATAAGGTTCCATTTTCATGCATTGTGACCTTGAATTTGTAAAAATAAGATTATTTTACTTTTTATTAATAAAGAATTATGTTGTTTTATAAAATAAAATGATATTTAACGATATAAATAAAAATTTTCAAATCAAATTCAAAATTGTTAAATAAAAATAAAAATTTAACAATATAAATAAATTATAACAATTGTAATATTAAATAATTTAATTGCTTTATATATTTGTGCTATAGAAAAAAAAAGCAATAGAATAAATTATAATTAGTATTTAGTATATATTAAAATTAATTGTTATTGTTGTTGTTGTTGTTGTTATTAATATTAATATACTTGTTTTTGTTGTTTTTGTTGCTCTTCTTCCTATTCTTCTCATTCGTCTTATTATTATTATTATTATTATTATTATTATTATTATTATTATTATTATTATTATTATTATTATTATTATTATTATTATTATTATTATTAGTAGTAGTAGTAGTAGTAGTAGTAGTATTAGTAGTAGTAGTAGTGGAATTAGGTGAAAGTATAATTAAAATTCATGCTGATGTAAATTAGCAAAACATTAATAAATTAAAAATCTATGAAATATTTAATCGTGCAAATTTTTATGGAACTATGGATTAATGATCGATTATATTAAAAAATCGATTAAAAGTAATGAACGAACCATCATTTAAAATGTTTTCACAAACTTATTATTGTCTTATTTCAATATATACTGCTAACATTCAGAAATAAATATAGAAATTTATTTTCAACTAGATAAAATATTGTATCAAATATATTAAAACATGAGATAATATAATATTTATCTTGAAAGTTCCACGGGGTTTAAGATAGAAACATAAGAGTTGAAAACAATACATTGACATCTTGAAATTTTTATGGAATGGTAATTTTTATGAAGGTATATATACAATTACTGACTATTCTAATGATAGTGTAATTGCTAAATTTGAATAAAATTGATCAAATTTCTATTACTTTATTTTTTTTCTTTCTTTGATACCTAATTTATTCTTCAAGCAATTTTTTGCACTTGAAAAACTTTTATCATTATGAGCTCTCTAACGTTCATTACTAAATTACCAATGCAAAAACTATTACCTTTGGTTAATAAATAACGTTGACTATAATCTAATCGATATTCGAAAACATTTGCCCTTTTTTTTTTGCACAAAACCTAATTAATTAATCTTCTTTAAATTGATCTATTTTATTCTACTGCGTGCAATAGAAATGTAATGTGCGGTTTCAATAAATTTTTTCTTCGTTCTTTATTTTGCCTGAATATGAAAAGTTATATTATTATTAAATTCAAAATTATTATACAATATATGCATTAATTATCAACAAACAGATATAACAAATGTGTTATTTTAAATGTATAAATGAAAAGTCTCTTTTTATTTTTTATGAGTTTTTCAAAATCTGATGAAATAAATAATTATTGAAAATCCATGGAATTCATGCGGTCTAAATAGCCTATACAAGCGTAAATGAAAAGCGCAATAAATCCATTTATGAGTTTAGTAATCAATAGGCATTATAGCATACCGAATTTATATTGTTCGTTCAATCGTAATAAGAAACTTAGTACATTCGATTACATAGACATTTGTCTAACAATGTTATTTGATTATGCAGATATTTGTACTGAATTTGTACAATGCTAAATAACGTAGCGAAAGGTGGACGTAAATGTGATAATATAGCTATCGACAAAAAAAAAAAAAAAAAAAAAAAAAAAAAAGCGAATTAAAGCTCGGGTAAAACCGTGATCAATTTCATTATAATAAACTTTTTGCTGCGATAGCCATTATGATTATTTCACGATTCAGTGCCAGCGAGTAAACATTTAAATACGTCTATAGGATGCGGAGATCTCGGAGGTCGCGGGGGTGGTTCCCGAAGAAGCGTTTGGACTGACTCCTGGTGGGGGAGTTGCGGAGCCTCTTATCGATTCGAGTGCACCTGCGCGTATGTGAGCTCTTGGCAAGGAGGCGGAAGTAGTGGTGGAGTATGGTGGAGTAGAGTAGCCTTGGCTGACCGTCAGATAACACGCGGAATGACGAGCACGAATGGAGACTCGTTTGAAATTTAACGGCCGACCGATTGTAATATCGATGCACGATAAATATATAAATATGGGGACTAAAATGTCTAACGCTACGTAAATTTTTGTTGACGATGAGCGCTGAACTCATTAACTATTCAACTGGAATTATTGAATCAGGTCTTTTTGCTGAGATATTGAAAATAACAAGGTATAAATAATAAATGGGTATGGTAGCGCTTTGCTGTCTGGTCTTTAACGAATGATTCTTCTATTTCAATTGCTCGTAATGTTTATTTAATGCAATGAGACGATAGGATTGAAAAATTTGTACGGTCACCGTGTCTTCGCTAGTGCACTATTATTGATGGTAATATCATTTTTATAATTATTACTTAAATAATATACCAATAAATCAATTAATAGTTTTAATTCAGTTTGTTATTATTAATTTTATTTCAGAATTTTGTAAATTCTAGTAAAATTGCGTTCTGATTTTTTCTTACAAAAATTTTTTTTTTTTTTTTAATTAAAATTGTCGTTTCGTTGTTAATAGTTGTAGATTATATTACTTTGAAACAAATCTAATGTTGATTTTATTTCATATACAAAAAAAAGTAATAGCACGTGACTCCATAAATTTTCTCCCAATAAAAACAAAAGGACCACCATGTCGGTGAAAAGTCGAATTTTAATTTATTGTCACACGATAAAAAAAAAAAAAAGTGTTATACTTAATTTGCGTACCAGCGAATCACATATAATTTGGAGCATAAGGTATGCGCCTATAATGCGTTAACAGGATAACTCAGAGTTGGAATAACTTTTTTTAAATATCTAGCCTCTTGATTGCCCTTAATGTAGCGATCAATTATTCTCCTGACAAAATTCAATAAGGCGAGATAAAGTGGTGATAAACGATCGTCGTTAGGTAAAGAGTCGGTGCTCAACTAACAATTCGATCACGAATTTCGTCTCTACTATCTATCGCGCAATTCTTAAGCTTTATAGAAATGGCAATATGGTTGGACGAGGGTACACAGAGAGCGAGATAGAGCGAGATAGAGAGAGAGAGAGAGAGAGAGAGAGAGAGAGAGAGTGTGTGTGTGTGTGTGTGTGCGCGCGCGCGCGCGTGTGAAAGAATGAGAGAGTAAGAGACAGAGCGCGAGAGTGAGGGAAGGGGGCAATTGATCTGCCGGCGGCGAACTATCATCCTAACCTCCCGAATGCGCGCTCCCTAACCTCATCGGTGCGCAGGTCCTCGTAATGGACTGGTCTCTTGGGGGAAAGAGGATGGAGGGGCGCTGCGTCGGCGCTGGCGGGGGTGACTGCGGCAGCAGCCCCTCGGCGATGTCCCCTGTTGTCGCTCGCCAAGTGCCGCGGATCGTCGGGCCGATGCTGCGCTCAGTGCCGACGCTTTGCTCATCGCCGATGCGACCTCATCACCAGCTGACCTTCGCTACTAGAGTAAAGCCACTAGTCGATAATACAACTCGGTATCTCGCGTATCTCCATTGTAGCGCGTTCGACTTCTTCCGCTTTTTCTTCTTCTACTTCTTCTTCTACTACTTCTTTTTTATCGCGCAGTGGTGGTCCATATTTGGTGTTTTGCGGGTTACAACGTGGCTGAATCTTCTGCGTTGCTTAATTTACACGTATCTTTAATCTGCAGTTTCATTCCTCATTTAATTTGTACGACAGGACACGTGAGCATGACTACATGTTTATACACATAATTAAGCATATTATTATTTTACCACATCTAATTCGTCGCAATTCATCAAAATGCAATTTCAGCTGTTTGTTTTATTAAAAATCAGCCGTAGTTTATATTCGAAATTGTAAATTATTTATCATAGAACATGCTGCCATGTTTTATTTGCCATTGCTGATAACGGAAATTCATAAAAGGTCCTTAAATTCATGGGATCATGTAATGCTTTTCTCCATTCATCCAATGATTATCGTGTCAAATTTTATATTGTTACATAATTTATTTGAAATGATTGCCGTATAACAACAATGGCTTAAAATAAAAGCAAAAAAAAAGAGAGAGAAAAAAGAGAAAAAGCAATGAGCACCCAAACACGTTCGCAATCACGGTGTTAAATAAAGTCTTAATTACGGTGAAATTACATACAAATTGATATTCATGGGTATAAATACATTTTTTTTTATCATTATATGATTTGCAATTACTATTGTTGACGAATTATAGACGCTATTATAGTTCATTTAAATAATATTTTCGCGTTATATGAAATAATTATTCAAATATTATAATTCATTATACAGTCGCTTTATCGTCATACTTTGTTATTCCCATTTTATCACTTTTCATTCTCGTAATAATAATAATAATAATAATAATAATAATAATAATAATAATAATAATAATAATAATAATAATAATAATAATAATAATAAACTTTTAAATCAATTAATGAGCTTCCAATACTGTGATTGTACTGCTTGATATAATTTTAATTTCAAAAATAATTTTCATGTTACTACGCAATAAAAAAAAATTAGAAATATGAAAAAAGCAAACATAAATCGCTGGTTTTAATGTGGTTCGATGGCATATTTATATCAAGGCATTTATTTATACATACATATGACAGAAAAAAATTACTAAAAATGACTAATTTAAAATAATGTTTCATGATTGAATCAGATATAAAATGCTTGTACGTATAATATCTAATTGGAACAAACATACTTATAAAATTATGATAAATTTTAAATATTAATAATATTTAAATTCATGTTAATTTCATTAAAATTTTATACTATACATTCGGATAGATCATTAACAAAAACGTTGTAAAGAGATTTATCAATTAAAATTTTAAAATGTTTAACCTGCTATTTCTAAAAAGCAAATTGTGACCGACAGAATAACCTATTACATATTGAATATATTAAATCATATTAAATAATTTATGGTTTAGAAGACTCGTTGTCATAGTGAAATTTCGTAATAGCATATTTTTACAGACCAATACAATAAATAATTGGTCATTTCTTATAATAATTATGAATTTTTAAAGCTACTCTATATTCGTTTGTTGCATTAGTCAATTATAAACTAGCATAACTTATTGATTAATATATAACATTCTTTAGTCTATTATTATTAGCATACATTGAAAAAAATTTCGTATTATCAATATTAGCGCAGAATTAGATTTATTTATATATAACTAATTTCAGTAATTTACATCTTTAATTCTCGAATAGATTAGAATGATTTTTTGATTTGTTTCGTATTATTTAATATGTATTATTTCAATATCGTAATATGAACTGCAAAATTATAAACAGTCATGATTTCTTAAAAATTAAATCCGTGGCATTCGTGAAAGATAAAATATTAATCTTATGTTCTTTCACTTAAACTGCCAATATCAAAGTATTTTTTAATTAATATGGCGATTGTACAGTGTACATTATAATATCGTGATAATCATGTATTTACCATTATACGCTAACATAATTACGATATTGAATACAAAAACTTTGAAACATCAATATTCGGTTATGATTTTATAAGTTTTTGAAACTTAAGTTTTTAACCGATTAAAGGGATAAATATACTTTTAACATTATCCAATGAAAATTGTAATTCATTAAAACTTTAATAATATCGGAAAAAGATATAAAGTACTTTCTATTATTATTCTGTTCTATATTAACAGTATAAAATAACTATACTATAACGAGTTTGAAAATTATTTTAATAAAAATTTAAAAATTGTCTTTAATTCACCTATGTGGTTATATTATTTCGTACAATCAATAGTATTCGAAAAATTTTCAATATTTCTGCGAAATACAGTGTTTTTACTACGAGTTACATTATACACGTGATTAGGTAATTATCATATGTAATTATTTTTTCAAAATTAAATAGATATATGGATTCTCATACGTGCAGTTATTTTCCAGTTATTAAAAAATTAATTCATAACTATGCATTAACGTTACTTAAGTTTATAATATCGTTAACTGTTATTACTTATGGAATAGATATTTATTAGAATAAAAATCATGGACTTTACAATGTTGTGTGTAGTGTATAATAATTCATAGCGAACAGCAGTTAAAAACAACGCTGCCTGAAATTGTTGCCTGAATTGTTATTCATTTGGTCATCGCTCAATGACATTATTGAATTCATTGATGAAATTGAATTTTAAAATTATAAAAATCATGATTGATCGAGTAACATGATTTTGTATACATTTATTAGTATATCTAATTTCAAAATTGAAAACATTTTTTTTTTATTGTGAATACTAAATTATTAATCTAACGAAAATCACGACTTACTAAATATATGACATTATTATGGCTTAATATTTATACACGTTTTATTATTTGTAATTTTTATATAAATACAGGTATATAGCATTTTACAATTTTATGAATCCTTTTTGGTTTTTGAAAATTAAATTTCTAATTGCACAATTTTGACAGTTTCCATATTTTTTTTTCTTCAGTTTTTTTTTTTTTTTTTTATAAATATCAAAGATTTTATATTTTTTATTAAACGTTGTCCAATAATAGAGACATAACTAAAAACTATTTTAATTATATTATCCGTTTAAGATGATATTTACAGGCTATTTTTATATACACCGATTGAAATAATGTAAACTTTTTACTTGAAATTGAATTCTTCATATTTTATTTGAAGTGCAAAAATAGAAAAATTTCAAAAATTAAAAAATTTTTTCTTTACATATATGCACTTATTAAATAAAAAACATTTATTATATTTTTTTCAATTTAAGTTCAATTTCAGTTAAATATTTATTTATAGATCATTAATAAAATATGTAAATCTATTATAAAATAATGTAAATATATACAAGTTTATAAAGCGATAAAACACAAAGTATCAAAAGCCAAAAGATTTGTTGTTAAGGATAATATAAAATGTTTCATAATACATTTACGTCTTAGATGATTTTCCAATAATTAAGCTTTAATAGACTAAAATTTAATTATAAAAATATTTTATATCATTTATAATTATAGAAAATTTAACTACATATAATAGTTTATGAAATATAACAATTAAAATAGTTTATAGATTTAATATAAATATAAATATACATTAGAAAATTTCCATTTTCTTGTAAATTTTATAATAAATGACTTAATAGTAATGAATTTGTATTATTACGCATATATAAATAGAATACACACGCACATATATATACACGCACAAGCGCGCGCCACGCGCCCACACCTACACACCTACACACACACACACACACGCACACACACACACACACACACAAACACACATACAATTTGGTTACAGATAATTTTAATGTAGAAAGTCAAGTCTTGTTTACCTTTTTTAAATGACTGTAGCTTAAGTTTTAAAATGCTATTTGAATTTATGATATTGCAGTGACATTAACTAATATAGAAATGTCATATATTTGAAATATAAATGCCTCTTAGTTTGAATTGATTAATAATTAAATTTTCGACGAATTTTGGTTACAAAAAATTTATATGATTTAGAATGAATTTTACAACAGTTATATTTAAATTCAACAATCTCCATAATATGTGTGCTAATATATTTATAATTCATAAAGAATTAATATATATATGTATATAAAATATTTCTTTAATTTATCCAAAATAACAATTGGAGAGTACCTCCGAGCGTTGTAACGAAATTTTTTTTGAAAACTTAAAACTTTATATTCAATCGTCCATTACGTAGATATCTTATTCTTCACTGCAATAATGACATTTACATACTCATCGCATTTTCCCAACGCATCGCTCTAGAATGCCTAATAAATTTTATATTTAAAACCCAGCAGATTCTGTCATTTTTCATTCGGCTAGAAACTAAAGTGGCTTGGATGCATTAAATATGGGTGTGTGCAATCGCATACCCGAGACATATAGCGACTTGATTGGGGATAGAGTGGGGTTTCTACCGTGGCACCCTAACGTACTTCCGCAATTCGTTGTTTCAGCAGCAGCGATAAGGGGTTGGCCGCGAGTATGGCGGTCGACATCCTGGACGTGGATCACCTAGCGGTAAGCGCGATCGTTACCGTCGGCATGCAGCTGATCTTCTTCACGATCGCCGCCACCTTTCAAATGGACAAGCTCACGGATTTTGCGGGGGGCGTGAATTTCATTATCCTCGCCCTCCTTACCTTCTTCCTCGGACAGGTCGGTAAGGTGAGTCGGCCGCATCGCCTTCTTTCGAAAAAAATAGCTCTGCCGCAGGTCTTGTATTTACGAAAGTACATTAACTAGAGACAATGTACGTGGACATGCAAGTTGAATGTGATTTATCTATAGAGATCTGCAATGAAATTATTTTATGTTGACTCATGACAAGTGGGACGTATGTGCAATGGCCCGCTCAATGTTTCCGCTATAAAATCTCAGAATATTCATTAATATTTTAATTTGCGAGTGTTATTAATTCAAAAGTTATTAGAAAAATGGGAGCGGTAAGCGTCAAACGCCAAACGCCAAACGCCATTCCAGCTTTTTCCTATGAAGGCGTTGGAAAGTTACACTCGGGTTTGATTTTTCCATACAGATTAATAATAACGGCTATTAATAATAATAATAACAACAACAACAACAACAACAACAGCAACAATAATAATAATAATAATAATAATTCCTTACCACTGACGGACAAAGTTTTCAAGATATTCCTATCGGCAATATAATTAATGGACTCAACACCAACGTCCGCAAACGTATAGGAGATCGTAAATATCAAAAATTCTTCGTTTCAAAATTGCGATTTTATCATTGGCGAAAGAATATTGACTCAAGTCATTCTTTTTTCGTGACCCGTCGAGCAAACTTTTTTCTCTACTCTACATAATATTTTATAGCCCATTAACTGCAATTTTGCTATTCAATAAGATAATCGGGCCTTGTCGAAAATTTCATTTTCTAACTTTCCCTTCTTCTCATCCTACATATGTCCTTCTTTTCAGTCTAAATTTTTATGTAAATTGAAGTAGTTTCTTTTTGCAGACGTAGAAAACACAATTAGTAGTACCTTATTGGATTGGAATATTTTTTTTTATAATATAGTGCTTAGATGAATTTCCGTAGATTATTTCAGATAAAAATGAAAAAATGTGTGTTATTATTACAGAGCTATTGAAGTAGAAATTAATTTTCGGGATTGGATGCAGCTGATTTAATATGCTGCTTCGACATACGGTTGCTTTGTTTTGTTTCGAAAAAAAATCAGGCCTTCGTAAAAAATCTCATTAATTTCATAAGTATAAGCTAGACTGCATAGATTACGCAATAGTTTTATGTATAATTTATAATGCGTAAAATGGATAGGAGAGTAAAATAATCAATTGCATTTCGTTTGCATACAAGCTTAAATTAAATTTAAATAACATTAGCTAATATACGAAATATATAATTGATTTATTGATAAAACTTGTTGTTCAGCGGTTCAAGATGCTTCAGAGCATAGTTTCCTGCCTAAAATGTTTGACAAATGCAAGGATTGATGCCCGAAACCTCGTGAGTCATGTCATGTCAGATTTCTAATGGAAGTTGTGTGTTTCATTTGAAGCAAATTTTGTTCAAGCGGTATTTCAATTTATTCCATTACCAAATATTTCTTACGATGAATAATAATATTTAAAGCAACATGTCGGCCTGATTTTTCTAATATCTTCTTTAAAATGTCTGTACAGTATATCACAATTTTATCTTTGCCTTGAATCCTTGAAAGCACATTGATTATATGTATATCTATATATATATCTATATATATATATATATATATATATATATATATTTTTTTTTTTTTTTTTTGGTTTATCATCGAATTTGAGAAACGTATTATATATTTCAATGTTTCACTCTCGGGAATAAATTATTTATTAATCGACAATTTTCCATTGAATTTTTTGAATATTTATCCACGGTATAATTTCATTTTCTAATACAGACTTATACATTTTACCGATTCGTCATTTACTTTATAATTTTATAACTTATAATTAGCACTCACATGTTTATGCTTTATACATCCATTTTATAAATTGATTACAATTCTTTTATTTATTTTATCTTTTATTTATAAATTACGAAAATAAGAATAAATAATTCGTATTTCAAAGTTGTATATTGATTTTATCATTTGAACTATCTTAAAAGAGAAAAGAAAAAAAAGAAGTGGTAACTGTCAGTACAAGAAAATTTCAATGAAATTAAATAGAAATTTCCAATGTTTATATCGATTGAATAAATACCAAAAAATACAATCTCCAATCTCAGTAACGAATAAGCATCAGCAATACATTCGAATATCGAATTTTTATTCTCATATTTTGTTGCGGATATTTTTCAAGTCTCGAAAGTTTATTAACGAGTTTCAATGCATTTTTCTCGAGTCGCTTTCGTAATTATAGTTATATATATATATATATATATATATATATATATAAACACATTGCTGTATATATGCACGCACACACGTATCAAACTAATACATCTTACTTATGTTATTTGTACATTAGAAATTTTTGTAATAGAAATGGATTTTTAAAAACGTATTAAAATTTAGTGCTAGATTTTGTAGACATTATTCATAAGCACTGTAATTATAGAGAGAGAGAGAGAGAGAGAGAGAGAGAGAGAGAAAAACTTATAAGTTATATAAGTGTTCTTATCTCGTGAAAAAATTGAGGAAAAAAGTATTTTATCGTGGTAGCAATTAATTAAATGTATTTGTAAGTCTGTACTTGCAAATTAGCACTATAGGCTCTATTATTTACCATTTATCCGCACACTTTATTATTTCAATTATAATTTCTTAGCCAAATATATTGCTTGAACGACTACTGCCTTGAACTTAAAAAATAATTTTCTTCTCTATATATGTATCGACGAACCATTTTATTACCGCACTATTTAGCATATTAGACGCGACAGTAAATTCACCAAAGTAAAATAAGTAGCTCAGCGCAAGTAATGTATATCGTTAGAAAATCATCTCGCAACAAGTCAATTAGACCGCATCGACGATCTTGCAATCGATCAGCGACGCCCAATCCCGAATCTTTGAATAGGCGAATGCCCGTAGATGGAAGTGCCGCTCATATTCAAATAAAACCTCGGCACGAAATTAATCGAGCATTCGAGCATCGACAAAATAAAATAAAATAAGCTCTCGAGTGTTTTGCAGACCTACGACAGTCGTCAGCTAATGGTGACTATTTTTGTTTGTCTCTGGGGAGCTCGACTTTCCTGTTATTTACTTTATCGCATTGTCAAAATTGGAAGGGACAAGCGCTTCGACGACCGTCGAAGTAACATTATACGCTTCGCCGTTTTCTGGACATTTCAGGTAAAGCATGTGCCCTCGTTCTTTAAGAAGCGAGAGAAATAATTTATATTATTCATTTTATTCGTTTTATCGTGCCCTTACCTTTCATTTTCACTGATTTTCACTGATTTTCACTGATTTTCACAACATCCTAAGATTTGCGTTATACCCTTTGCATACGAAATAAAAGTCAACTAAACATAAAAAAAAAAAGCATAAAAATCAATGTATACAAGCGCGAGCGAATTTATAATCCCTCATTTGATGATATTTCGCTGACAATAAACGAATCAACGTTCATAATCGAAAAAGACTATATTTTGCATTAAATTCATTGTATCGAAATTATATGACAGAATTACACTGAAAATTGAGTGCTTATAAAAATGCACTTTCAGGCGCGTTTAAACAAATTTCTTGTTAAATCGGATAAGGATCGAGCATAGAACGTAGAAGATTAAGAAAACAACATTTTTCAGCCGATAATGATGACACGAAAGGTATTGATAGTCTTTACTCGGTAAAATATCATGAATTCCATGTTGGTGCTTACCTATTAAAAGTACATTACTAGGAGAGGAGAAGCAAGGTACTTTTAATTCCTTACATATTCAACAAAGTGCACTGACATTATTTAACTAATATTTGATATTATTAATGGCTCGATTAGTAGATTTGTAATAATATTTATTGATCGTTGAAGAGGCCATCCTAATGGAATGCATTTTAATTTAAAGGCACCTTTACGTTCAACAAAATTTTGTCTTACGAACAGCCCTATCGACATTAAAATCGTATGCATAAAGATTTTCTTGATTTTTTTCGCGCTTAAAAAAAAAAAAAAAAAAAAAAAAAAAGAAAGAAAAAAAAAGACAAAAAGTCTACTAAAAACTAAAACAAACATGATGTGTAAAACCACTGAAATGACGATGCAATTGAAAATCGAATTTGTAAGTCAACGATTTTGAAAAGGCGGTGTGGGTGTATGTGGTAAGCCTCCCGGTGATAATCATCAACTCACCGAGACATAAGATACCACCGGCCCCGAAGACAATGACGACCCTCGATAGCGCGGGTACCGGATTGTTCGTCGTCGGCCTACTCGCCGAGACTTACGCTGACCTGCAGAAATTCGCGTTCAGACAAGACCCGATCAACGACGGCAAGTGGTGCAACGACGGTAAGCCCCACTGTTTTGCATTCTTTTGCGCTGCTTTGCGCGACCTACGCCCTCCGTTTAAAAAAAAATTGATTTCTTTTTTATTGACGGCGCATACGGGACGGTTAGTACGATGGCGCAGGAGATCATTTTTTCGAGCGTTATTGTTTTAGCCCTAAAACTAATATCCCTTCATTGTTTTCATCAACTGTAAAGATCTGTTCTATTTCGTAAGAAATCTCCTTGAATTGCAATTGCCTTTGGCAGACAATTGTTTTAAAGGGAAAAAGTAAACTACAATAACAAATAGGCCAAATAGGTCATAATGTTCGTCATAATTATTATTTAATTATATTTTATTTATCATAAGAATTTATAAATCTTCCTCTGTCTTTATTTTACGAATAGTTTGTAAAATGTGAAGAATAGGACCTTAAAAACAAAAACTGCTTCATCACAACCAAGTTTATATTGTCGTAGTTTGAGAATTCATAATAAGCTTATAAATGCCTTTGAATTTTAAATGAAATTGGTGAATGACAAATAGATGCGCAATGCGTTATAAAATTGTTGTTAGAATTTATTTTAAAACAATCCCGTGTATATTATAAAGAGAAAGAAATGTTTTTGGCAAAATATTTCAAGGGATACTGTTGAGGTAAATATGCCGCGTATTATATATATATATATATATATATATATATTGGAATTTGCGTGCCTCAAGAAAATTTACTCTTTATGCTTACCGAGAAATTACACGCACGCGCGCGCACACACACACTTTTGCGTACATTCATTTCTAAATATCTCAATGCGGAGTTTATTTAATTTTTCGCTCTATTGCTATCATACAATGCAATAAATAGTCTTTATATGATTTCACTTGTATTTTCATTCATTTGACTTAAATACGCAGGCTTATCTTTCTCAGTTAAAAAAAAAAAAAAAAAAAAAAAAAAAAAAAAAAAAGCAATAATAAGTTTTTCACGTTAATGTTCAATTATCGAAATTCATTTATTTTGTAATGCGAAATTGCATAATTATAAATGACAATATTATAAGTTAGCTAGAGCCATTTGCGATGACAAAGAACGTAACGTAAGCTATTTCACATAATTTAAACATAATTTTGGCAATTTTAAGCAAATTATTACGATAGATATTTTTTAAAGAAAAGATTAAAGCTTTATCATAAAGCTCATGACAATATTTTTATACAATAATATTGGATGTAAATGTGTGTCGTGTGAGGCTTTAGTTTACATTCCCGTTCATGCACTGGTCGCAATGAACGACGTACGTCGTAAGATAATACGAATATTATCCCAAATAAAATGAACCAAATATTAAACGAGCCTTGGTTTTTTACTTACTCGTAAAATAATCCCGATAGTTTGTTAAAAAAATTAATATCTTGACTTTCGACGAAAATTTTTATTTAAAAAATAGCAAAATACCAAACAAAAAAAAAAAAAACAAGAAAGAAAAAGATTTCCTCGTTTGCTTTATAATTTGAAATCAATTTTTGTTCCGAAGCAATTAACCTACTTTACTTTGAAAACCCTCTTAATTTATACTTACAACTATAACTTATAAGCATTATTTAGAGAATTATAACGAACGGATAAACTCGCTCGTATTGCCTCTTCTATTTTCTCCCATCGATCTTGCTATTAGCCCCTAGAAATCATTGCGCTCGATCATGACATCTTAACGCAACCTCTTTCTCCATTTATCATATAAGGAAAAAGTGTTGAATGTCAAAAAGTTGATCGCGTTACATCTACATCTGCCCGACATCCGTTTCGTCGAGCTCAGTCTGTAAACGTATTTCGAAATAATCAATGGCAATTTGACCGATAAGAGAAGGTAGCTTATAGCACGAATATCAATGGCTACGAGCTATCGCTCCTCCTCCCCGCGTCACACCCCCCCCCCCTCCCGATTAGAAAGAACGAACTCGATGAGACTTCCGATATTATTTAGTCGAGTATTTATTGTTGATCCACCGATAGAACCATTGCCATCCGCACTTGCATTAATCTTTGAATCGATCGCAGGTCTCTGGAGGCTCTCCAGACATCCCAACTACTTTGGCGAGATCGTCGTCTGGTGGGGCATCTTTGTCATCTCACTGAACGTCATCGAGGGTATCGAATGGATCGTCATTGCCTCTCCCATATTCACGACCATCATCATTCTCTTCCTCTCGGGAATGCCGTTGCTGGAGAAGGCTGCCGACGAACGATACAGAGAGTAAGTATTGGCCCTGGCCAACTTCTAACAATCACGGGGTGTTCGTGTTATCGTTACCAATCCGTTCTCCTCCTTCAATCCGTCGTTTTTATGTTGCGACGAATCTACCGGAATTAACAACAGAGCACTCACTCATGCATAATTGGCAAATATCATTTAAAATATTTGCGATTCAAAATTATGAATTCTATTAAAAACTGGATAGTTTCGTTTAAGAATATTTACTAGTATTAAATTTGAATTGGAGATCGGTATTTTCAGATGACGAATTCGACGTAGCGATACTCTTAATGATGGCAATAGGCTTGACAATTTCAATGATTAGTTCTCGGTTTAATTCTCAGCCATGTCTCATTAACGATTGTAACACATACCGAGTAATTTTTATCAACCTATCAAACAACACAATTGTTTAAATAACATTGAATTAATTGGATAAAACGAGATTTGTCGTTGAACTTAACTGTTTCAACTGTATGGCGATATTTAAAATTAAAATTACAATTGTGAAAAACAAAAATATTTCCAGACCGACGATAATATTTAACATACCCCGTGTATGCATGTCGAGTCTAGTTAAGTTAAGTTCAATATAATTAAGTTCAACCTTAATGCAAATATACCGGCTACCTTATTACGAAAAATTTAACATTACATAAAAATAAAAAATAAAAAAAAATTCCTTACTTAGGCGTGAAGACTTATTCTTAAGCAGGCGATGCTCACGTAAATCGTCTTTTCTATTTATAGAGAATTACTTTATCGAAGAATCGAAACTTTACTGGATGACATTTAATACGATAAATGACGATGATATTCCCCACCAAGCCTCGAGCTTCTCGATTAGAACGAAATTTTCATTACCGTTTAATCGTCAACATCATGGTCGTCCAAACCTCTCATTATCCGAGTTTAAGCAAACGTCTCGAGCGTGATAACAATAATTTATTCAAAGTAAATCAGGGATCGCGCTGAAGGCGTCGAAACTCCCCTATAACATCAAATCGAAGCTCGAGTGCTCTTATCTAGAACCCCAGCCCAGCTGGCTCGCCCAAGTTTCGCCGTCGAAGGTGTGTGCGAGGCCCGATCGAAACACCGCTGTCATTGAGCTTAAACACGCGATGAGAAGAAAATCGTCCACACCTTCGTCTAACACGAGCCCTTGCACTTTTTTTGTTTTTTTTTTGTTTTTTTTTTTTTTTTTTTTTTTTTTTTTTTTTTTTTAGCAATGCCGAGTACCGCTACTACAAGCAGTCGACCTCGCCGCTCATCCCCATTCCGCCGGCCATCTACTCCGAGGTACCCTGGTTCCTCAAATTTGTTCTTTGCTGCGAATTCCCGCTTTACGACTCCATGGAGGCGAAGCCCCGGGCCGCTGTAACCGAATCCACGTCCATCAGCCTCGCAGCATCTACGTAGCTATAAGCGTGCGTCGGATTGGCAACCGACGCACGTAAAAGCCCGAGTTCAGCTCTCAAAGCCTCTTGGGGGAGGTTTTGTCATTGTTATCCATCGTTTATCTCTGCTCTCTCACTTTTCTACTTGCACTTTGATTCCCTCGCGAACCTATTCCGATCCAGTGAGTGTGCGTGTGCGTCCCATTGATAAAGAGCATATTGGCGCTGGATGACATTGTCTCTCTTCCTCCCTCTCGCGCTTCGCAAGTGCAGGAATGGTAGTTACCATCAGTCAAAATAAGTACTGACCTGATCTACTGAACGGACGGGAGCGCTTGGGAACGTTAATTAGGATATCCTCGACATTGGTAGCAACAAAAATTTAACCAATGTCTGTAAAAGTAATAGAGGATCAATCTACGTTTCATTAAGAATTTATAGGTAACTCTAATTGTAGGTAGGATGTATTGATAAGATTTTTTTTTTTTTTTTGACAAATACCGCTACTAGAATTTCATGTCGAACTGATAATCCTCTCTACCTATGTTAACTATTATTCGACGAATAATATACTCCTACGGTATATATTCATCAAAAGATTTGATTCGCCTATACGGTTCTTCGAAACTTATGTGCTACTTATGTTTTATCTCAACTTGTTACACGTTAACTTTGTCAAGCGAAAATTATTTTATATTTAAGGTAAATTTGTTAATGTGTGATATTGTTTATGTGAATTTGGAAGAATTATGTTGTTTATATTACGCACGCCATTATTTTGTCTTTTACAGCTGCATATTTTAAGAAAAAGAACATATTTATGGATCTCTTAATGGATAGGACCTTTTTTGTAAGTACATAAGCCTTACTTTCACATAAAATACGCATTCTAAAAGTGCCACACTCTCTACACTTTTTCCTAAATGATTCCGTGTTGTATGGGTTCGTCGCTGATGCGACGACGAAGCGAAGTCCTTGTTATTTAACGGTAATCATCGTAAGGTAATCATTAGTAAGGGGAAAATATTTTTATGAAAACTTATGAAGCCGATGCGGAGTCTAAATTTTCGAAAACACAAGACATATCCATACAACCAGCCATAACTAATAGATTTTTAATATTCTTACTCTATTTTAAGATGCAGCATTATGAGATTTAATCATGTTAGCCAAGCGTATAAAAACAGTTAGATGCCAAAACTAAACTGCCCATATTGACTACGAATTGCTCGTTAAAATTAGAAAACAAGCTTCTTATTAAACTTGTACAAGCCGAATATCTGGCCAAAAGCAATAATACATTATACCGAACATCGCTTTATTATTATTATTTTTCGTTTCGTGCCGAATAAATAGAGCGGTTGTATACTAGAATTTAGATCTTCGGTACGCGTTTCGTGTATTATCGAAGGTGAAACGTGAATTTATCAATAAATACGTACTATTCCATTAACAACATGCAATACCATATAAATTGGCGTGTCTTATCAAACTTGTTCGTTTATTACTATTATATGTTTATGATATTTTCATTATGACGTAATTGGCTTCAATCGATTATCCTTGGACTTGATTGAAAATTTCTTTCGAGGCAAGATTGTGCAGTGCAGCAAATGACTTTCGAGCGCTAAATGAATAAAATGCACATTTGACGGAGATTAATTAATCATCTTGAGCTAACTATTCGAGTCACGTCTCCGTTCAACGAGAAAAGAATCGACATTTCTTCATAACTCTTTGTAAAAATATCTTCACCGATTAAGAGAAGGATTCGGCTATATTGTTGTCGGTGTTCAGTTTACATTATTGTACGATGCGCATTGAAAATTGTTTCTCAAATGGCGCGAACGAATTCCTTGTTTTAATGTTTTAATGTTCGCCCGGGCGCATTAGCTAATCAACTGTGATACTTTTTCTTTATTTCATTCAATTATCGCATTCCATTATCTCAACTATGCCTGCGCGATTGAACGAGTTTCCCGTTCTTATCATGAGACAATGTTGCGGATCTAATGAAGCAACTTACTTCGCAATCTCGAGATCGACGTATACCATTTCATTTCTAGTATATCTTAAATTCTTATGTATAAAATTATTACTCGCTCCTTACCTATAATTGACAATATTTCATTAATATACGTGTCATAAATCAATGCTTAAAAGCTATTTCATTGGATTAAGTAGTCAACGTACCATGAACATTACATTAAATTTCATTCTAAAATGCCAATCTACTACAATTTTCAGTTGATTATAATTGAAGAATCAAGGAGATTAACAATCTCATAATAATAATGTATAATAACGCTCGAAATACTACTGTTATTATAATTAAAAAAAAAAAAAAAAAAAAAAAAAAAAAAAAAAAACTTCTCACTACAACTCTGCTCAATTGTGTTAAATAATAATAAGAATTGTATTTAACAAGACTAAGTTATTTACAGTATTCAATATAAAAAGATAATCGATATATTAAAAAAAAAAACAAAAACAAAAACAAAAAAAAAACACAAACAAACACAAAAAAAAAAACAAAAAAAAAAACAAAAAATCAAGCAAGTTCAATATCAGAAAAATAGGGATAATAATAAACTAATACTAATGGAGATACGGTGTATTTCCATTTAAAATATATTATTATAGTATATTTAAGTTGTTACCTATTATTAGAAATTAATGTAAAGTGAAAGGTTATTTAACAGAAGAAAAAAAATCTAATGCGATTCTTGCAGATGTACAAGCGAATAATCGTGACGACTTCTACGTTGTTTAAAATAGATGGAATTTGAACGAGCACTTTGAGAAAAAAATAGCTTCAAACAAAAACTATGTAATAACCATAAAATTATCCCAAGATAATTTCTGTTTCCGTTTGAATGATAATAATGATCGCCATGAAAGTGTTATACCGACACTTATTAATTAATTATTCATTCCAAATGTATACAAAATTAGCCGAAAGCTTCCTAGTGCCAATTCCGTAAAGCAATTTAATGCTCTAGAAAGGAGAGGAGAAGCGATGTTTTTTGTAAAGTTTAACCTCACGCAGGAAATTTAAGAATAACAAAAATTATACGCGACGTCATGTTACTTTAATTTCAAATACATCAAACAAAGCATCCGTGCGCCACATATATTTGAAAACTTTTAATTATTAATTCATTGAGTAAACAATGAATAAGCAAAACAAATGCATCCGTCGTGCGCCTTTACTCAACGCAAATACACGTTTTTGACGATAAAGAGGAGACTTTAGAGAAAGGAATGATCAATGCAAGTTGCAAGTTGCAAGTTGCAAAAAATTATTAAAAATTTGCGCACGTTTCCGAGCGAAAAATATAGCAAAGTCGAAGAATTCCACGATGTACCTGCACATTTTATCATAAAAATATAATTAATAGTAAATCACATCCTCGGCGTATAATTCTTATTCGTACTTGTACATTTGATCATTGTGAAAGGTGAATTTCAGTCTGTGATAGGCACTTTGTTATTTAACGAGAATTAGCATTTGGGGAGGGGGAAAAAAAAAAAAAAAAAAAAAATTGTAACTCAGCGAATGGAGAGTAAAATTTTTGCATCATTTTTCCATAAGATTTTTCCAATTTGATTATCATGTAATTTCCAATCACGAATCAAAATTTTGTATTACTAATAAATAAAAATAGTAGCTAAAAAATAGTTGTATTGGCATTGTGTAATGCAATTGTTGGCACAAATGGCACAGCAATCAAAATTTCATATGCCTTTTATCAATTCCCAACGCTTAAAATAACATTTGAAGAATATCATCAGAGCATAACTCTCGGTCGAGTGAGAAACCCACGTACCTGCACATTCGCCTTTCAAAGTGATCAGACGACAGACTCGTGGCAAATTCTAATAAAATATTTTATTCGCATGTGAAAATAATTCAACCGTTATGCCACATGTCATAAGTATATGTATTCGTAAGAATCACTTTGAAGATGAAATGCTATAGAACATTTAAGAATAAGCTTGATTTGTGAAATTGTGCCGAAGAAAAAAGAGGAGAAATTCCTTAAATTACCTTAATGTGGAATAGTCGCTTTAATCTCACTTTGAATGAAAGTATAATGTAATTTAACATAATGGCTAATACGATTCGTTTCTCCTAATTAGCTTTGATTATACGTCCATTGACAATCGCATCTAGCCTCTGTAATTGAGTTTCACAATAATTTTTCGACATAACAAATGAATCAAAATGTAATTGTAATGGAATTTATTTGATAGCTCGAGTGATTTTTCTTTCCTTTAACTGATTTCTGGTATATTTCTGGTACGTCGAGGGTCAAAGGGGAAAAGCTTGATTCGTGGCCTTTACGCGCACGTTGTTTTTAATGGGAAAAAATATATCGTTGCAGATCGGAATAATGAGTTATAGAATTCAAAAGAGTCGTTAAAAATAGTCGAGCCTTTGGGATTTTCACTTAGCTGTTAGCTGTTAGATAAGTCCGTCGATCGATTTGTCTCCATTTGTACAAAAAATTCACGTATACGCAGGCGCGCGTGTGTCAAGTCTTTGTTTACAGTTGAGTAATCGCTAGCCCAATAACTTAACATATTTATCATTATAAAACGTTGCAACTACGAACAATAACAGTTTGTAAAAAACTAATTTTGTAATACTTATATAGAATAATAGATGTAATACGAGTATATGCGCTCATACTTACAAATTATATTTCAAACATTATTTTTTAAAATGAAATTCGATACTTAATAATAATAATATCTTAGCAAATAACTACGCTAGAACTCATAATAATATCATCGCGTAGCAATGTGTATCCATCATATCACATGTGAAATCAGTATTAGCGACTCATTAACGGCATTACAACTCGCGAAGATCATTCGATCGCAATTAACAATAAAACGTGAAATGAATCAAATATAAGGCATTGATATAGTTTATGTGATAAATAAAGCTTAGACAATGAAATAATGGATCGGGCTTTGAAATAGCAACTTATGCGTAGCTAATTAAGTTTATTAGTAAATTAGCAAAAAATTAAGCGATTTTTATAAAAATCGAGCGATAGTTAGTGTTAATTTTTCCCTTGCATGATGCCAGTGGCTTAATTATACTTATTACACATATCTTTATAGTAATTAGCGAATTTATTATCGAATATTTTAAAGTAATAGAAAAATTCTTGACAAATGATACTTTGGTAATGTAATCGTGATTGTATATTGGGACGAGTGTGTGACTTTAAATACATATTTTATTATATTATAAGTTTTATTTCGTGGAAATTTTTTATTGGAAACTGCAAT